CATTGACTAATGTGGAGGGAGGCCTGGTGAATTTTGGATGTGAATTGGTTTTCATATTCCTATACATACACTATGTATTTTTGTGTTCCAGCTCTTACATTCCAGGAGGTCCCTGACATATATTGGGAACACATCTGTTGAACACATGGTTTACTCGAACTTAAACGGGAAACCCACGGAAATCCAGGATAACTATCGCATCATTATACAACTCTGCCTTATATGGTGCTCTATTTGCTAAGATGACCCTAAATTGAAGATGCTAAGTGTTTTTTAACATGATTTTATTTTTTTTCATATGTACACCGTGCTTATGTTTAACCTCCCTATGATCTATGTGATCAAATAAAGTATTGTTAAAATTCTTTTGAATTCATATTACTCCGCGTGGATTATCTAGTAACCTTCTTTTTCAGGTAGGGGTGTTCTTGTCACACCACCATATTGTTTAGTATGTAGTTTTTGGGTTTTTGTATCCACACTTATACAAGTGAGTCGGAGATATGCTAATGACACCAGTAACTTGTGTCATTTTTGGTGGCCTGTTTTTGCTTTATTGTTGCAATTTTCAGCTTTCACTGCTGTCGCACTTTGAATGACAATTGCGCGGTCATGCAACACTGTACCCATATGAAATTTTTATCATTTTTATTGAGACAAATAGAGCTTTCTTTTGGTGGTATTTATTCACCTCTGGGTTTTTTATTTTTTGATAAAAAAAACAAAAACAGAAAATTTTGAAAAAAAAAAAAGTTTTTTCTTAGTTTCTGTTAAAAAGTTTTGCAAATAAGTGATTTTTCTACGTCACTGATGTGCGCTAATGAGGTTGCAGTGATGGGCACTGATAGGCTGCACTGATAAGGAGGCACTGGTAGGTGGCACTGATGGGCATTAAAAGGCAGCACTCATATATGGCACTGACAGTCAGCACTGACTGGCACTGATAGGCGGCACTGACAGGTAGCTCAAATGGGCACTGATATGTGGCATTGATGTGCACTGCTAGGCACTGATATGTGGCACTGATAGGTGGCAATGATGGACACTAAGAGGTGGCACTGATGGGGCTACACTGATCATCAGTGCCCTGATGATCAGTGTACATGTTCCCTCTGAGGAATGCCGATTACCGGCTCTCCTCTCCTCATGAGCTGTCAGCTTGTGAGGAGAAGAATCCCGATAACCAGCATTTCCTTATTTACATACGATCAACTGTGATTGGACACAGCTGACCACATGACCAAGCCACCGTCATTGGTTCTTTCCATTGACCGTGATCCACTGTGTCCCAGGGACACAGCGCACCACCGATCGCCACGCTGTGCACCCCCAGGGGCAAGCACGCACGGTTAGAGTGGGAGGACATCATATGAATGAGAGAACCGCCTTGCGCCTGTCATTACCTCACAGTCCAAGCTGTGAAAATAACAAAACAGTCCCAGTGATCAGTATATGTGATTGACCACCACGTGTCTTCAATAAAACTAGAGCTAACTAGTTACTAGTGGTAACCTGGCAACTGGTAGCAGAGTGGCCAAATGCTGTGAAGCTCCTGCACACAGGTAAAACTGACTGCACAGATCTAGAAGAGATACACAAGACACACACAAAGCACAAAATTCAGAGGTTCTTGTCATGGGAGGATGTGAATGGAGAGGGTTTAGGGGCATCCTTTCTGTCCATTGTTGTGGTGCAGTATCTTTCCCAAATTTGAGGGATATGGTGGACATATACCTTTGGAATAATACATCCATGCGTTTGTGACATGGTGGTCAATCACATTTACAGATCACTGGGACTGTTTTGTTATTTTCACAGTTTGGATTTGTTTTATTGTCACTTAAGTTTTTTTTTTGTGATACACTTGTTTTGAGAGCCATACCATTGTAGCGCGGCAATTTATTTATATGATTTGTACACAATTGATCTGATTGTTTTGCCAGCAGCTAATTTTTACACTTTTACATTTTGCGCAGATTTTTTAATATTGTGTTATAATTGTGTCAAACTACTGAGTACCATTTTGAGTTGCTGCAATGAAATTTCAGCAAAATGGATGAGCCTTCTGCATCATTTTTTCACTTTGATTTTCTGGGTGTCTTTGAACTCAGTCCTTTGTAGGTTGATAATTTTCATTTCCATCAAACAATGGGGCATCCTTATGTTCCCAACACATTACCCAGTCCATATCAGTATAGATATCCAGCATGATAATTTTCCTCATTGAGATCTGATGTGTTTTCAAAGTGTTCCTTTAATTTTTTTCAGCAGTGTACATCCATCAAGCCAGATATTGATGTGTTAGTTTATCAAAAACAGCGTCACACATCGCACTAGTTTTATGTTGCCCTCATTTACTTTTATAATAATTACAAAAATGAAGTTTTATTACTCAGACAGGTACATTATCTACAGGTGAAACTCGAAAAATTAGAATATCGTGCAAAAGGTCATTTATTTCAGTAATGCAACTTAAAAGGTGAAAACTAATATATGAGATAGACTCATTACATGCAAAGCAAGATAGTTCAAGCTGTGATTTGTCATAATTGTGATAATTATGGCTTACAGCTCATGAAAACCCCAAATCCACAATCTCAGAAAATTAGAATATTACATGCAATCAATAAAACAAGGATTGTACATAGAACAATATCAGACCTCTGAAAAGTATAAGCGTGCATATGTACTCAGTACTTGGTTTGGGCCCCTTTTGCAGCAATTACTGCCTCAATGAGGCGTGGCATGGAAGCTATCAGCCTGTGGCACTGCTGAGGTGTTATGGAAGACCAGGATGCTTCAATAGCGGCCTTCAGCTCTTCTGCATTGTTCGGTCTCATGTCTCTCATCTTTCTCTTGGCAATGCCCCATAGATTCTCTATGGGGTTCAGGTCAGGCAAGTTTGCTGGCCAATCAAGCACAGTAATCCCACGGTCATTGAACCAGGGTTTGGTGCTTTTGGCCGTGTGGGCAGGTGCCAAGTCCTGCTTGAAAATGAAGTCAGCATCCCCATAAAGCTTGTCTGCGGAAGGAAGCATGAAGTGCTCCAAAATTTCCTGGTAGACGGCTGCGTTTACCCTGGACTTAATGAAGCACAGTGGACCAACACCAGCAGATGACATGGCTCCCCAAATCAACACAGACTGTGGAAACTTCACACTGGACTTCAAGCATCTTGCAGTGTTTGCCTCTCCATTCTTCCTCCATACTCTGGGTCCTTAGTTTCCAAATGAGATGCAAAAGTTGCTCTCATCAGAAAAGAGGACTTTGGACCACTGAGCAACAGATCAGGTCTGTTTTTCTTTAGCCCAGGTAAGACGCTTCTGTCGTTGTTTGTTGTTCAGGAGCAGCTTGACAAGAGGAGTACGACATTTGAAGCCCATGTCCAGGATCCGTCTGTGTGTGCTGCCTCTTGATGCACTGACTCCAGCTTCAGTCCACTCCTTGTGAAAGTCCCCAACACTTTTGAATGGCCTTTTCCTGACAATCCTCTCCAGGCTGCAGTCATCCCTGCTGCTTGTGCACCTTTTTCTTCCACACTTTTCCCTTCCACATAACCTTCTACTAATGTGCTTTGATACAGCACTTTGGGAACATTCGACTTCTTTTGCAATTACCTTTTGAGGCTTTCCCTCCTTATGGAGGGTGTCAATGATGGTTTTCTGCACAACTGTCAGGTCAGCAGTCTTTCCCATGATTGTGATTCCTACTGAATCAGACTGAGAGACCATTTAAAGGCTCAGGAACCCTTTGCAGGTGTTATGGCATAATTAGCTGATTAGAGTGGGACACTTTGAGCTGAGAATATTGCACCTTTTCACAATATTCTCATTTTCTGACATTGTGGATTTGGGGTTTTCATGAGCTGTAAGCCATAAACATCACAATTATGACAATTCATGGCTTGAACTATCTTGCTTTGCATTTAATGAGTCTATCTCATATATTAATTTTACCTTCTAAGTTGCATTACTGAAATAAATGAACTTTTGCACAATATTCTAATCTTAGAGATCTAATTGAGTTTCACCTGTATATCGATCGTAAACTGATCTGCCTGACTTTTCTGCTATCCTTATTGTTAGTGTATTTTATGTGCGGCCCAAGACAATTCCTTTTCTTCCAATGTGGCCCAGGAGACTCAAAAGGTTGGACACCCCTGTGTTAAAGAAACCTGTACTGAGGTTTCTACTGCTGACTCTTCCTTCAGAAAATGCTAGTTGCCTGGCTATCATGTCAGTCCAATAGCTTTAGTGCATTCTGAGGTTCAGACCCAGAAAAGCATGGAGATCAGGAGTTGTGGCTTCACTTTTCCGAATCTGCATGCTTGCTCCAGGTCAGTGAATCAGAAAGCATTAAAACAAGGGACTGCCAGGCAGCTAGTATTCTCAAAAGCCAATTCATAAGTTGCAGCTTATATATTTTTCTCTGTACTGGTTTCCTTTAAGACTGCTTTCTCGCTTTGTAAATTCTCACTGAATCCAGGGGGCTTCATCTTCTCTATGCTTTATATGCAAATTAGAAGACAAAGCTTTTTCCTTTAAGTGCTTGACTTAAGCTGGCCATACGTGTATCAAAATTCGTCTGGTTCAGCTGGAACCAGCCAAATTTCGAACTATGATTGAGCACTGTGGTTGTACAGTAGTCAATCAGTAGATTGGTAGGTACAACCACCCTGTTGGATTTTCCCTGCTTGATCAGCACCGCAGGTTGTAGATTGCAGCACTGATCGGTGTATTTTAAGGACAGGAAAGTCTCCCTGCTGTCAGAATACAATAGCTCACTGGGAGGATTCCCCCCATCCACCTTGATTGTGTGAAATGGGGAATCAAGTCAGTTTTTTCATTCAACCTCCTGGTTGAAAAAAAAACCTAATGTATGGGCTGCCTTAGGCTAACAAAAAAAACTAAACATGCTTGAGGTACATCAACATCTATTACATTGATTAATCAGCAGTTCATTAAAGGATTGTTGACTGTTATGTCTTCTAATGTTCCTTGCTATTTAACCTGTGAGCACACCCCATCTCTGTTCCGTTCCTGTGTTTTCAGATCTCCCTTACTTGACTCTTTATATTCCAGTTTTTGAACTGCTTGTTCAAGATCCATAACAATCACATCTACATCTTCTCTCGAAGTCTCCCGACCAACACTCAAACGCACAGCGCCACGTGCAGATTCTCGGGGTATTCCACTGCTCAGCAGCACATGTGAAGGACTGCAGGAAAAATTTTAAGTCGTGATATGTAAGTGTATTTTCAGTGTAATACCTACTACAAATTGACAGGTCCACATGAAACACTGAAATAGTAATATGATACATAGGTGGAGAACTGGCCAGTGACCAAGACTGATTATCACCCTTTCTTAGAAAACTGAGCTCCATGCATAAAAAAAGGAAGTATAATTTTGTGTCCCCCCATGGCATTCAGACTCCAGCTGACTTTTTCTAGCAAAGGTAAGGAAATGAAGGTAAGAATCTGACTGGTTTCTATGGGGAAATAAGGCACTTTGTTTTCAGATGTTTTAATATACAGAATGAGGAAATGTAAAAGAAAAACTCAGATCAAAGAGAAAATTAGAATACTGCTTTAAAATGAGGAGCTATTTTTATTGTTTAAATATAGACTATTAGGTACTTCTGGCAATACACATGGCAATTTCAACTACAAAAGGCCCAAACAAACAAATACAAATACATTTTCCAGTCCTTTAGGAGTTTGTTATTAAACAGATACAGATGGTACAGATGCTAAATAAAGGATTTAAACAATAAAAAAAAAAACCGCAATCAATATATATTAGAATACAAAATAATTCAACTAGATAAGAGTCCTTTTTATTTTGAGCACCACCGATGGCTATTGCAAGGATTGGGAACCTCTTAAAGGGACCCAACCACATATGGACCTGAACCCAGGAGCTGAGGAGCAGAGTCAACCCATGCCCAGGGGGGAGTACTGAGAGCATTAAGACCTATATTACATAGGTCCGTGAGAGAGGTGAACGGTGAATTCATATAGTGGTGGAGCAATGTTATATGTGGAGAATAGAGTGTGGCACAAACATTAGGATTAGTATGCACAGACGAACACTGAGTTTGTGAAGACATTTACAGGCGTACCTCGGTTTACGAATTTAATGCTTTCTTTTCGTATTGCGAATAGGAATTCCCATAGGAATGCATTGAAAACCAATTAATCCGTTCCGGAGGTCAGAAAAAAGTAAAAATAAGTCTTATCTGTTCAAAACTCTTTATAAAGTGCACTTTAAAGGCATAAATACTGTACAGGGACATAATTAAAAATTAATTTGTAAATGCATTGAAAACCAATTAATCTGTTCCGGAGGTCAGAAAAAAGTAAAAAAAAAGTCTTATCTGTTCAAAAAACTTTATAAAGTGCACCTTAAAGGCATAAATACTGTACAGGGACATGATGAAAAAAAAATATTTGTAAATGCATTGAAAACCAATTAATCCATTTGTATTGCGAGAAAAATTCATAAACCGAGGCATTATTTTCAATGGATTTTCATTCGTAAACTGAAAATTACGTTAACCGAGGTACGCCTGTGTTTAGAAGCAGCAAGTTCATTGATGTATGTTGGACAGATGATTTGCAGCACTGAGACTGTGGACTCATATACCATTTTTGTTTGAATACATGGTTTTGTAAAGTTAATAATGAGGTGCTGTGACATATTTTAGTATGTAGAAAGTGTTTATTGTTGCACTTATTGGTTGAATTATTTTATTTTTATCATTGCACTTACTGGTTAATTTATTTTATTTATATCAAGGTTCCCCTTTTTTTAATTGGAATTATAGGTAAAGAAAGGGTAGCGCTACACCATACACTGTTAAAATTTAGCTGATTGATATGGGAACACAGTTAGGTGTTAGCAGCAACCCACACATGTAGTTTTGGAAAGGCAGCACAGGAGTTTTATATTACATGTATTGGATAAATACAACATACCACCAACAGCTTCTACTCTTATTGCAGTTGGTAGGTTGCCTTGATCTGTTAAGCTGGGTACACACTGGCTGAAAATTGACCAGTTCAGCAGAAACCCACAAAAGTTGGCCAGTGTGTACAGCTTTCTTTCCAACAGAAGCCAATGTAATGATCAGCTTTTGTCAAAGGGACAATGGCTGCAAGTGCTGATCTGTGAATTCAGCTTCTGGGGTGGGGGGTGTGGTAGTTGGGCAGGAGAGCCAAATGAGTATGCTATGAATGTTTTTTGTGTTTGAAAGTGGAAGCGTTTGAAATTTCCATGTGTGTGTAGCCAGCATTAGACCCAGTTCTCGCAAAGGGACATACTTAAATAGTCCAGCATCTGACAAACTGAAAAATGTTCATAATGCTGACTGGCGAGAGAGACTACATGAATGAAAGCAAGCGAAGCTCATATTGCATTATGGCAAAAGAGCTTTTGTTTTCCTTCTTTCCTGGTTTAGACTAGCTCAGCTTTAACACGTCACACACACAGGTTCCAGTTCAATTCTCCCACCCTTGTTATGAGATAAAGATTTTGGAAGCTCATAAATGTAATTTTTCCCAAAAATAATTTTCATCTTTCTGACAGTGCACCAGGGTAATGGTACAGTTTAGAAATAAACATCGCTTAAAGTATACAGTATCTCTGGGAAAACCCTTTTTGTTTTGAATAGCACAGGTAAAGGTTAGACCCTCTATAAAGTGTTTACTGCTGTCTGTATCCCCATTGAGGTGATTAACCCATCCATTCCTATTGGTGACCATTGTCAACAAGAACAAAAATGAGGGGAAATCCAAAATTTAGGAGCTGTCCCCAAAAACAAGAGATGAGCGGCAACTTTTGAATAGAGAAACCTATTGTCTAAGGCAGGGATAGGCAACCTGAGGCTCTCTAGCCATTGTGGAACTACATTTCCCATCAGGCATTGCAACATTACAAAACTGACAGTTACAGCTATGACTTGCAGAGGCATGATGGAACTTGTAGTCCTGCAACAGCTGGAGAGCCGCAGGTTGCCTACCCTGGTCCAAGGGGACAATAGGTTTCTCTGTGTAGAGCAAGCCATTGATGAGTTATTTTTTTGTTCAACAAAAGGGATGGGGGTATCCTCCCCACTGTGTCATTGTATTCTGACAGCAGGGTGACTTCTCCGCTATCAGAATACACTGATCAGCACTGCAGGCTATAATCTGCAGCACAGAGAGCAGACATTTTCCAAAAGGCTGGCTGAACAAAAGTCAATCAATAGATTGACTTCTGTTCAACCACAGTGCCCATACATGTATTGAAATGTCCCTGCCAAATGAGCCGAATTTCAATCCATGTATGGCCACTTTAAGAGGGGAATTTTCCTCACTTTGGAAGATTTACTGTAACTTCCTGTTATATCTCTGGGACAGAAAGTAAAGCGAAATTTCCACAGTATTAAACAGATGGCAATAAAATACCCTGGCAGGGCTTTTAATCCTTCCCAACTCCAAAACTAAAAAAAAAAAAAAAAAAAAGTTTTGGCGAGATATACTTATATCTTATAACAAAATTCCTATTTACCTGTCTCCTCGGTCTGAATGACAAGCCGCTCCAACACTTGCCTGAAGAGAATGACAATGACTCAGCCATTCACGTCCTGCAAGAAAGATATGATAAAGAATAATGCAGGTCTCACAAATACAGAATTTGCTTTGTGGTGCAGAAGAACTGTCCACACTAAATGTTTGCACTACATTAGAATTCTGCACTCATACTAGTTTACTTAGCTGGTTACTAGTCCACTTGGGGACTGGACTCCTGCTTCATATCTGTCTGTGTAGCACCAAAGAGTGGTCCCACCCCTCTACATTTACACTGCAGAACCTCATTCATCTGCTCCTTACACAGCTACAACTAGCCATAATATGAACTTCCCTGGATGTATCCAACCTCAACAAAATAATTTGATAAATCCTATGCTATATTTTCCAGTCTAGTCACTGCTGTTCCCCAATGGATATGCCCAAATCTGTTAAAGGAAACATATATTGATATATAATAATATGCAGGTTCACATTGCCGACCTCCTTCTAAATGGTAGACCTAGAAAATGCATGGCAACATTGAAATCAGAACCACCAAAGATATCAGAACCACTAATATGTTTATTTGTTCCATGTCAATGACCATGACAGTAGAAGGATTGGCATGAAAGTCAGGCAACTAATATATTCAAAAGCAGAGGTCAGCAATTGCAGCCCAAATATTTATTTTTGTTTAACTTTCTATATAATCCATTATGGCTAGCAGTGGGATCATGCATACAACCTAATGTGTTAGACTAGCTAAAAGCAGAGCCTATTTAATCTGACAGACCAGCGATCCCATCAAAATCTGACAGGGTACTCAACACCCAAATTGCGCAGAGGACAAATTATGAGAACCGCTGACCATAATGATGGTGCAATCACATTTTTCATAATGGGTTCTAGATATTCAAGTGCATATTTCATGACAGTAAAACTATGTCTTTGACCTACACACAGGCAGGGATTGTCGAAAACAACTTTTGTATGCATTTTGGCATCTGTGAGTGACTTTAGGTCATGCAAGAGCCACAATGGGATAGACATGATGATATGCAATATTGTAATATCTGGTGCCAGTGACAAGTAACACTGTGATTATAATCAGTGACAAAGAGAAAGTGTGGTTACAATCTAAGGACATGTATCTCAAGTAATGGGGGCGGAAAGGGCAGTGGGGAAGTGCACCCCAGGCCCAGGGCTCTCTAATGCCCAATAAAATGTCCAGTGCCCTGACAACATATCTTAATAAAAACTGCCAGCCGCACTAATGTAAATGTTAAGGCGGCTGGGACAGCAACTACGGTCGGCCTTAATATTTGTATTATTGCAGCCATCCAGTCCCATTAAGGTGGTGCGCACGGTGCACTTACAAGGCTGTCCCACGGACCTCGGCTCATTCCTCTTTCGTCTGCGGTAGTGTTGGGAGGAAGTGACATATAACTTCACTTCAGCCACTTCACTGCACTTCAGCTAGCCACATCCAGCCAGCCAGCCAGCCCTGCAGGACGGAACAAAAGCACCACCGGACACCAGGGAAGATGGAGTGTTGGAGAGTACATTTTGAAAGGAGTGAAAGAAAACAGGAAAGTGATGGTGGTGGGGGGGGACTGAAAGTATGCATCAAAGAGAAGGGCTGAAGGAGCCCATGAAAGGGGAGGGCATGAAAAGGGGGACAAAATGGGTATTAAAGGAGGGAGTGAAAGAGGAATAAGGAAAGAGCATAAAGGGGAAAGGAAGGGGGGCATCAAAGGGTGGGCTAAAGTAGGGCATGGAAGGGGGGTTTTACTAGGGAGACATGCTGCTGTGTATTTCTCTGCTGTGCAACAGCATGTCCTTGCTGGCAGGAGAGAGACCTGTGTAAACAACACAGGTCTCTCTCCTGCCAGCAAGGACATGCTGTTGCACAGCAGAGAAATACACAGCAGCATGTTTCCCTAGTAAAACACATAAGCACACAAAGAAAAACAGCACACAGTTAACCCTTTGATCGTGCCCAGTGTCATTAGTACAGTGTAAGTGCTTTTTATTAGCACTGATCACTGTATTAGTGTCATTGGGATGTCGGCGGCAGTCAGTTCACACCCAGTGTCAGAATGCCCCCCGCAGTCCCGATATAAGTTGCTGATCGTTGCAATTACTAGTATAAACATTTTTTTAAAAAAAAATTACAGTATATATACCATTTGTAGACACTATAACTTTCATGTAAACCAATTAATTTACATGTAGTGTGATTTTTTTTTTTTAGCAAAGACATGTAGCAGAATACAATTTGCCCTAAATTTATGAAGAAATTATTTATTTTATTTTTTTTATTTCTGGTACTTGTATAGCGCCATCAATTTACGCAGTGCTTTTACATATATACTGTATTTTACATTCACATCAGTCCCTAACCCTCAAGGGGCGTACAATCTAAGGTCCCTAACTTACATTCATACATACACATACCTGGGCCAATTTAGACAGGAGCCAATTAACCTACCAGCATGTCTTTGGAGTATGGGAGGAAACCGGAGTACCCAGAGGAAACCCACACAGTCACAGGGAGCACATGCAAACTCCAGGCAGGTGGTGCCGTGGTTGGGATTCAAATCAATGACCCTAGTATTGCCAGGCAGAAGTGCTAACCATTTAGCCACTGTTAGATTTTTTTTACTTTTTTACTGGATATGTTTTATAGCAAAAAGTTAAAAATATAGTTTTTTTTTTCTCAAAATTGTCGGCCTTTTTTTTTTTCATAGCGCAAAAAATAAAAACCGCACAGGTGATCAAAGACCAAAAAAAAAGCTCTATTTGTGAGGGGAAAAAAGACATAAATTTCATTTATGTAGTGTTGCATGACTGTGCAATTGTTGGTCAAAGTAACACAGTGCCGTATCGCAAAAAATGGTGTGGTCAGGAAGGGGGGTAAATCCTCTGGAGGGCAAGTGGTTAATACTCTTTACTTGTGTGCCTTTGAGAGAGTGAGAGGTAGAGGAGGCATTGCTCAGCTTAATGGGCTATTAGTGTGAGGTAATGGGAACATTGCCTAAAGTTAGGGGGTATTGGTGGATTTTTATTTTATGTATGCTTAAAATTATTATTTATTTTAAAAGTCTAAAAATTGTTTTATTATGTACAATCATGTACATTGTAGAATACTGCACAAGTTGTTTTGTGGAATAAATTATAATGTTTCATAAATTAAATTATTTTTGGGTCACGACTTAATGACTAAGGACAAATGTGGGTCATTAGGTTTCACAGGTTGAGAATCACTGATCTAAAGGAGTGTCATAAAAATTACACTGCTCAGTGTGAGTTATAAAGAATACGCCACAAGTAACTGGTATCTATACAAAGAAAAGGATCAACCAAATTGTTTCTAGAAAGTCATTAAGTGTAAGATTCTAGGTGAAACAGTGTACAACTGTGCATAATAATGATGATAAATAAAAATAATTACCTAGGACAGAGGGCTTCAGCAGTGACACGTTGCATGTGTTAGGAAGGCGTTTTGTGCCAGGGAAGCGAGAATTAAATCGGATCCTGTCACCAAATACAGCCTACAAATATATTTACACAAAAACATAAAGTCAAATGCTAGGGAATTCATAAGCTGTACCAAACAACAATATAAAATGTAATACTATCAATAGGTGGATATAGATAGGTGGCTACCACCACCACCTTACAATGCTAAGGTCCTGAGTTTACTTCCACACAGGAAACACTGTTTGCATGCAAAGAGTGTTTGCATAAGGTTCCTCTAGCTGTTTCGATTTATGTCACAAATGGCTATATGTGTGCTATATATCAATGGTTCTTGATGCATGAATGTCCACAAAGGCAAAAAATAATGATTTGTATGACTCCACTCACTTCCATAAAGAGAGACAGCTCCTTTTTTGGGGGGTTTTGTGATATGTAAATACCTTCTCTTATAAGAAGACAATGCTGTATTTGACAGTACTTTAGAAGTGGGCTTTTCAGTTCCTTTTATACCACCTCTCAGCAACCTTAATGGACATTGTGACCTTAACAGTTATACTGCACCCCTGGACTCACAAAGCCGTAAACCATATCTTACACTGATGAGTGCTAAGAGGTCTAAAACAGCTGCTTTTTGTTTGTTGTATAGAGCTCTCCAAATGCATCAAACGAAATCCAGAGGTTAGAGGGATTACTTCACCGCGTCCAAACAGAAGTAAGTCTTCACTCTACATGATGGTTATGGTGTTCTGCGTCAACCAGCATTCCACTGACTCAGTTGCTGCAAGAATTTCCGCCAAGCTTCAGGGGCAAAAGTCAACTGCAACAACTCAGAGGCCATGCTCTTCAGAAAGTGGTTCCTGCCTTCCATGTGTCCATCTCATTCAACATCAGAGAGCAGATTTCGTCTAAATCCTTGGCATTCAGTTTGGAGTTGAGGGCAAAGCCCTGAAGTCTTGTGAGAAGAGACTGTCTGAGATAAATACAAAATTCAGACAGGTACTCTGCAGTGAGATCCTCACTGTGTTGCAGTACCCTGCCCAGGCCCGGTCCCTCCGAGTCAACACCTATAAGGCCATCGCTGGGGCGGCGTTTTACTTCATCTGGGGGCACAGGACAAACAGAGTAAAGCAGATAGTCATGTTCAAAGAATCCCTCAAAGGTGGTAAGGGTGTGTCCAACATCTCTACACAGCTGAGGGTGTTCTTGGCTTGCAACTGCATCCACAGGACTGATCGACAAGACTATGACTCTGGTAGCAGCTCCATGTTCAATTTTTCCCTCCTTCCTCTTTAGAAGACCCTAGGGTGGGACAAATGAGACAGCTCCATCCCCTATAATTGGGACACTCCCTGGTATTACTTGGATATTTTTATGTTTTCAAGGAGCAGGGGCTGGAAGAAGTTAACATGACATGTGAAAGCAAAACTGTCTACAACTTGATCGGAGACAAGGACATTGTGGAGTCTGTTCCTGGCCTACTGCTAGCCAATTGCAAGGTGGTCTGGAGGAATATTTCTTCAAAGAGACTCATCAACAAGCAGAAAGATCTAGCACAACCCCTTTTGTATCCATGAAGAAACCGGTTTGCATGTTTTCTGGGAATGCCCCTTTGCACAGGTCTTATTGATGGCCCTGGAACCAGTACTCAAAGACTTTGTGCCACAGACAGCCATCACCCACCTTGGGGGGTGTTGAACGGACTACTTTGGATTTAATTTAAATCTTTTATTAAACTTTTATTCCATTACAAAAACACACTGCAAAGTATCATTTACAACCAAAATACAAGCATTCCCCTACGTTTTGCAATCCAAATCCACAAGCAATTTGTGATGAATTTGTACAATAGGATATTGATAACACCTGGTGGGTGATGTTTCTTTAAAGTGGTTGTAAAGGTTTCAAGGTTTTTTACTTTCATGCATTCTATGCATGAAGGTAAAAAAACCTTCTGTGTGCGGCATCCCCCCCCCCCCCCTAATATTTACCTAAGTCCCCTCTCGATCCAGCAATGTGCACTGGAGTCTCGGCTAGCCTGGAACTCCCTCTCCTCATTGGCTGAGACAGAAGCGGGGAGCCATTGGCTCCCACTGCTGTCACTCACAGCCAGTGAGCCAATGAGAAGAGAGCAGGTGGGCCGAGACGCAGCTCCGTCTGTGAATGGACACAAGGAGCAGTGAGTGACCCCCTAGCAAGCTGCTTGCTGTGGGGTCAGGAGCGCCAGAAGCGGAATCGAGAATAGGAGGATCTGGGCTGCTCTGTGCAAAAAACCCCCACACACAGCAGGTAAGGTAAAAAAATAGGTCTTTAAAATCACTTTAAGGAAGTTTGTGGCGCTCCAGAAAGTGCCTCTCCACCAGAGGGAGAGAATGTCCATTTAGGACTGTCACGGACTAGTCCAATAACTGCTCAGAGTCTAAACCAGCAATGGGCAAACTACGGCCCGCGGGCCGTATACGGCCCGGCGGACCTTTTAATCCGGCCCGCGGGAGCTAGGCTCCCGCAAGGCCAGTGGTCGGCAAGCCGCGGCTCTTTACAATAGATGCGGCTCTCCTGTGTGCCGGGCGCCCCGCTCCCCTCCCTCCCTCGGGCGGGCGGGCGACCTCCTCTCCTCCTCTCCCTCCCCTCCTCTCGGATGGCCGCCCCCCCTCTAGGATGGCCGCCCCCTCCCTCCTCTCCAGGACTCTGCAGCTGTCAGAGATGTAGGCGGGGCAGCCAGGATGTAGGCGGGGCAGCGTGACGAACTCTTCTCTCACAGTCCTCCCTGAAGACCAGAACGGCGCGGGAATACGAGAGGAAAGAGCGGAGGAGCAAAGGTAAGTGAATTTGACACAGGGGGGGCTACTATATGGGGAATGACTATATATGAGGACTTACTATATGGGGGATGGATTACTATATGGGGGACTTACTATATGGGAATGAATTACTATAATGGGGGACCTTACTATATGGGGGATGAATTACTATATGGGGGACTTACTATATGGGGAATGAATTACTATATGGGGGACTTACTATATGGGGAATGAATTACTATATGGGGGACTTACTATATGGGGGATTGAATTACTATATGGGGGACTTACTATATGGGGGAATGAATTACTATATGGGGGACTTACTATATGGGGAATGAATTACTATATGGGGATGAATTACTATATGGGGGACTTACTATATGGGGGAATTACTACTTTATGGGGGACTTACTATATGGGGAATGAATTACTAATGGGGGACTTACTATATGGGGATGAATTACTATATGGGGGACTTACTATATGGGGGAAGAATTACTATATGGGGGACTTACTATATGGAGGACTTACTATATGGGGGATGAATTACTATATGGGGGATGAATTAATATGGGGGATGAATTAATATGGGGGATGAATTAATATGGGGGATGAATTACTATGTGGGGGATGAATTACTATGTATGAATTACTTTATGAATTACTATATGGGGGATGAATTACTATGTGGGGGATGAATTACTATGGGGGATGAATTACTATATGGGGGATGAATTACTATATGGGGGATGAATTACTATATGGGGGATGAATTGCTATAAGGGGGATGAATTGCACGAATTACATAGGGAGAGAATTACTATAATGTACTATATGGGGGATGAAATTACTATGGGAGATGAATTACTATGCTTTATGGGGGACTATCACTATGGATGACTAGTCCAATAATAACCCTGCGGCCCTCAAGTCAAAAAGCCCACCCCTGGTCTAAACCCTTACTGACTTTAAGGAAGAAGAGGTCATCTGAAGAACATTTCTCCTACTCTGAGTCGCAGTATTGGCTGTATGTACCCCAATTAAGTACTTGTTTTTTTTTTAGTATTCTATATATCAAGTATATATAAAAAAAAAAAACTTGGTAATTTTGGCTCTGTAAAATTATGGCCATATCTGTGCAATACACCAGCAGTTCTGGATGCACAGATGGCCCCAAGGGCAAAAAATAATGATTTGTATGACTCTGTCGACTTATCTATAAGTAATGACTAAGCTCCTTGTTTTTTGGCTTTGTTCTGAAGTTTAGGATGTGTAAATACCTTCTGCTATAATAATGCAATGCTGTATTGTCATCAATGCTAAAAAATACTGGTCAGTTTACCAGCCCTATGTAGGGTTTGTCTGTATGACTATGGACTTTAGACAGTAAAAAAATGTCAGAGCAGGGGCTGATATACTTGTTATCTATACTCCTTAACCACCTCCCGTCCGGCTGTTGTATATAAACGGCCAGACGGTGGTAGTGCAGGGTCGGATGGGCGTTTATAAACGGCCTCACCGCCCCCTGCTTGTGCACGCTCCCTGGGAGAGCGCAGCACCACGATCCGGTGCCTACTCTGTCCTCCGGACACAGTGGAACACCGATCGTCGTACAGGAACTCTGTGCAAGGTCCCGATCATGTGATCACTGATTGGCCAATCAGTCATCACACGCAGAGTAGTAAGCAAGATGTCAATTCTGACATCATTGCTTACTACGTGTGAAATCTGTGAATGATCACAGAGGTCACATGGTACAAGGCTATTCACAACAGCCTTGTACCATGTGACAAGCTGTGACCAATCACAGCTCACACAGTAGTTCCCAATGGCTCCAAGAATACAGCCAGAGAGAAGGAGAAATTATTGCTTTTACAGCCTTTATGGGTGTAAAAGCAATCAGTGTAAAAAAAATCTTCATCACCCCCCACAAGTAGTACAGTGTCACCATGGGTGACAGTGTGTAAAAAAAAAAAAAAACAAAAAAAAAAAATAAATAATATTATAAAAAAATAAAATAAAAATTTAAATATTATAATTTTTGGTTATAAACCAATTTGTGTTAATTTTTTTACTAAAAAGATAACAGAATAAATTTTCGTCAAGATTTATAATGAAATATTATTTATTTATTTGCAAAATTTTATAAGAAACACTTTTTTCAAAATTTTTGGACATTTTAATTTACATAGCAAAAAAAATAAAAATCCCAGTGGTGAATAAATACCACCAAAATAAAACTTTATCTGTCTCAAAAAAATGCTAAAAAAATTCATATGGGTACAGTGTTGCATGACTGTGCAATTGTCATTCAAAGTGTGGCAGCACTGAAAGCTTAAAATTGGCCTGGACAGGAATGGGTAAAAGTGTCTGGACTGGAAGTGGTTAAAGCTGCAAATCATTTGTTAGTGTTTTCTAAAAGTATAAAATAAATCAACTGCTGAAAAACAAAAACAAATAGATTGTGTGTGAAGATGTTGATGATGGGATGATGTTGCTCACCTGTAATCTCTGCTCCAGATAGTCCCGTACATCTCGCATGTGGCTCTCATATACAGTACAGTGTAAACTGACTAACTCTGCAGCCTGGAGGAACAGCAGTACAATTAGATTAATCCACATTTTTACATACAGTAAAGTTTAAAGTCACACAATTAAAGCACAGGGATTCAAGATATGTATTGGCATCTCTTGAAGGCTGGGGGTGAGACTGGGTGTCACAGTGGGGGCAACTGGGGAGAGGGGGTTGAGTGGCTCTGTAGCAAACTTGGTGGCCTTGCAAGGGATGAAGTTTCTGGGGGTAGCTGTGGGCGCTGGGGTCTCCCCGGGGGGGGCTGGAAGCTTTGCAGCAGCACTGTTGGAGGATGTAATGTCACTGTGGAGTAATTTCCTCCTCTCACATCACTGATACTTCCTATATGTACCCAGCAATTACTGCTATATCTCTCTGCACTATCCACTGTACTGTGTTGAGGGCTGTTATAGGATAAGCGATTTCTCCTCTCCCTTGTTGGTTTGGCTTTTGGAAGCATCATTGCTCACTTGTAAGAAACTCTACTTAAAGTAGAACTATAGTCAGAAAAGTAAGTCCTGCTAGATCACTTCAGGCTGGCTGCTTTTGCAGACAATAAAATCAGTGCCTATGCTGTTTAAAATGCAGTAATACTCTGTCTCACTCTGTTCTGTGCATGCTAAGTTGCTCTCTATTTCTTGGCACTGTACTGAAACTGTAGAACCTGATCTGCTGACAGCCTCAAGATTTACCACTGTTCAGGGGTTCGGGCTCCAGCAAAATGGCAGCCTCCATTAAGAAGAAACAGGAACAATGCTGAAGGTAATTAACGGCACACATTAATTTTGGTAGTATAATTATTATTGTGGTATGTATAGTGCCTTGAAAAAGTATTCATACTCCTTGAAATTTTCCACATTTTGTCATGTTACAACCAAAAACGTAAATGTATTTTATTGGGATTTTATGTGAAAGACCAACACAAAGTGGCACATAATTGTGAAGTGGAAGTAAGTTAATAAATGGTTTTTAAACTTTTTTTACAAATATATATCTGACAAGTATCGTGTGCATTTGTATTCAGCCCCCTTTATTCTAATACCAGTAATTAAAATCTAGTGGAACCAACTGCCTTCAGATGTCCCCTAAATAGTAAATAGAATTAACCTGTGTGTAATTGAATCTCAGTATAAATACAGCTTTTTTTGTGAAGCTCTCAGAGCTTTGAGAACATTAGTGAACAAGCAGCATCATGGAGGCCAAGGAACAGACCAGACAGGTCAGTTATAAAGTTGTGGAGAGGTTTAAAGCAGGGTTAGGTTATAAAAAATATCCCAAGCTTTGAACTAGTGGTGCACTGAAATGAAAATGCATGTGGCCGAAAACCGAACTGAAACCAAACTGTCTGCGTATCTGGGAAGCTCCTATTTTGTTTTGTATTTTTTTCTACTTTCATGTTTTTTTTTTTTTTAAACTTATGATTTTATTGCTATCACATAGGGGACCAATAGTCCCCTATGTGATAGCATATGAGTGACAGGTTCTCTTTGTAGGGGGGAGAGGGTGGGGGGCAGTGTGTGCAAGGAGGGGTAGGAGAGGAGCAGTGTATACAGAGAGGCTCCCTCACTGGATGTCACTATGGGGTTTATTTACTAAAGCTGGAGAGTCCAAAATCAGACTCCCTTCTGCATAGAAACCAATCAGCTTCCAGGTTTCATTGCCAAAGCTTCATTGAACAAGCTGAGGTTAGAAGCTGATTGGTTTCTATGCAGAAGGGAGTCTGATTTTGGACTCTCCAGCTTTAGTAAATAAACCCCTATATGTCTGTGCTGATTTTTAAATGCAATTGCCAGCTTTTTTTTTTCTTCACTATAGCTCAAAGAATTAGCTGTTACTTTCCACAGAGCTAAAGGAAACTTTGTTTCTTTTATATCAGGAAAGAAACTAAAAGGAAACTCTGTTTCTTTTAGCTGGGAGGAAAGTGACAGCTAATTCTTTGAGCCATAGTGAAGAAAAAAAAAAAAAAGGTAATTACATTTAAAAAACCGGCACTAAAATATACTGACAGCCGATCACTGTATACACTGCTCCTCTCTTGCCTTTCTCAGCTGTCCCCCCCCCCCACTTCCCCTCACATCTGCAGTATACACAGTCTCCTGTATTGGCTAAATTTTTCCTATCGGCAAAATGCCGATAGGGCTATGTTTGGCCGATAACTTTCGGTGGCTGAAATTTCGGTGCATCCCTACTTTGAACATCTCACAAGAGCACTGTTCAATCCATCATCCGAAAATGGAAAGAGTATGGCACAACTGCAAACCTACTAAGACATGGCTGTCCACCTAAACTGACAGACCAGGAAAGGAGAGCATTAATCAGAGAAGCAGCCAAGAGGCCCATGGTTACTCTGGAGGAGCTGCAGAGATCCACAGCTCAGGTGGGAGAATCTGTCCACAGGACAACTATTAATCGTGCACTCCACAAATCTGGCCTTTATGGAAGAGTGGCAAGAAGAAAGCAATTGCTGAAAGAAAGCCATAAGAAATCTTGTTTGCAGTTTGCAAGAAGCCATGTGGGGGACATAGCAAACATGTGGAAGAAAGTACTCTAGTCAGAACGCTATGTGTGGCAAAAAAAATTAACACTGCACATCACCCTGAACATGCCATTCCCACCGTGAAACATGGTGGTGGCAGCATCATGTTGTGGTGATGCTTTTCTTAAGCAGGGACAGGGAAGCTGGACAGAGTTGATGGGAAGAAGGATGGAGCCAAATACAGGGCAATCTTAAAAGAAAACCTTTTGGAGTCTGCAAAAGACTTGAGACTGAGGAGGAAGTTCACCTTCCAGCATAACTACCCTGAACATACAGCCAGAGCTACAATGGAATGGTTTAGATCAAAGCACATTCATGTGTTAGAATTGCCCAGTCAAAGTCCAGACCTAAATCCAATTGAAAATCTATGACAAGACTTGAAAATTGCTGTTCTCAAATGCCATCCATCCAATCTGACAGAGCTTGAGCTATTTTGCAAAGGATAATGGGCAATATGTTCACTCTCTAGATGTGCAAAGCTGGTAGAAACCTACCCAAAAAGACTTGCAGCTGTAATTGCAGCAAAGGGTGGTTCTACAAAGTATTGACTCAGGGGGGCTGAATAAAAATGCACAACACACTTTTCACATATTTATTTGTAAAAAATTTTGAAAATAATTTATCTTTTTTCTTCCACTTCACAATTATGTGCCACAATTATGTGGTCTATCACATACAATCCCAATAAAATACATTTACATTTTTGGTTGTAACATGACAAAATGTGGAAAATTTCAAGGGATATGAATACTTTTTCAAAGCACTGTATGTTCCTTGCTAAAGAATATTATTTTTTATCAAGTTGTTACAGGTAAAGTTCAACTTTAAAACAAAAACCTAACTAGAGAAATATGACATTATTCACATGTTGATTGAATAAATATGAAATTATACACCTCAGACATCTGCCTTGCCACATGCTTAACCTCCCTGGCGGTATGATTATTTCAGATTTTTGGTGCTGAAAGCATCGGGGTACCATTTTTTTTGCATGGAAATATGTATTTTTTTTATTGTAGGCTGTAATTTTTAGGAAAAACTCACTGAAATCTGTCCGAACAAGAGTCTAGTAAACATCCCGGGTATGATAAAATTTGAAACACAAAATCATAAATTATAATTTAATAAATAATCATAAAAATAATATAAAAATAATAAAAAATTTAATTCAATAATATAATCAAACCAAAAACACTGAAATGTGAAATAGAGCGCCAAGTTCGCACATTGCTGAGCTCAGTCGCAAAATCGTTTTCAGTGTCTGATGACGAATTTCCCCCACGAATCATTATCACTCAATTCTGCAAGTGGTTCTGATTTACTATCGCTGTTCTCTAGCTGATCTAAACCGCTTTTGACCTAAAGGGACACTTTTTGGACGCCATGGACATTTCTCAGTTTCCAGGCAGAAAGAACAGACAAAATGCAGGCAGGGCGCAGGACAAAGCACTAGGGACAATATGTATGTGAAATTGGTTGAGACAGCAATGTTTTACTAGGTAAAATGTAAAAAAAAAAAAAAATGACATTTTTTAAAATTTTTAAATTTCCCGCCGCCGGCGGCTGCGGCGCCCGTACGTCCCAACGTCACAGGGACAGGACACAGAAGCCGGATGCCGGCATCGGCCGGAGGAGATGGCCGGGGACGCTGCAGGGGACACATCGTGGGAGCGCAGGGTAAGGTAAGTGAAGAACACTTGCCGGAGCAGTGCCTCAGGGTAAGCCCGAGTGTAGCTCGGGGTTACCGCTTTTGGTACTGAAATGTTACCCCGAGCTACACTCGGGAATACCGCCAGGGAGGTTAAAGTGACTCTTTCATAAAAATGTAGCTTTCATAACAGAGTTGCACCTGCAAAGAAAAGAGTATATACTTACCCCTCCTGCTGTTATCGCCACTGAACAACACTCTTCCAGTAGAAGAGTGACTCAAGTTTCTTCTGAAATCGACACTTTTGGAAGTGTCGATCGCCTGTGACATATGCAGCGCTCAGTGGTTCCTCCTACAGATCTCTACATCAATCAAGGACACAGTAGTGGTGAGGTCAGCAGAAAGAAACAACTGCGCACAGCAAAGGCAAAGGGGGTAAGGATTGTCACAGGGCAGCAAGCAACACTATGTGCTCCTTTGCTAAGACATTCATTTAATGTGCTTTGAATGTGGTTTCTGGTGACAGTGTCAATTTAAAGGAAATGCATATGGCTGAAGAGCTGAACTCCTAAGGAAGACTGGGCAAAGATGCAAGTGCCTGATGGCTCCAACATTTGACAAGTAAGACTGTCACAATGTGATAGTATGCTGTGCATACTAGTACATCATGAATCAGACCTGCAGGGAGTCCATTTAAACTTTTTTTTTTTTTTTTGCTTTATTATCGCTTTAACTGCTTATGTCTAGGCTTCTCTGAAAAGCAGTGTAAAGTTTTGTACGCAGCTAAACAAAGCCACTATAGGAATCAATTTAGATTGTAAGCTCCACAAGCAGGGCCCTCACATTCCTTCTGTACTGAAATGTATTGTGATTGTACTGTCTCCTGTTATATTGTAAAGCGCTGCGCAAACTGTTGGCTCTATATAAATCCTGTATAATAATAATAATAAGGTAGTGTGTATTCAGTGTTAAATATACACAGCATACAGTCGGGATTCTTCAGCAAGAAAATTCAAAGACCAATGGTGATGTTCAGATTAAATTAGTCCATAACAACCAATCAGCTTTGCTTTTAATCTTGTGCCATCAACTAAAGAAATCATTAATTGATGGATTCCTATTGGTTATACATATTAACTACCAATTGCACTGCCTTTGCTTTGAAGAAGAAATCCAACCTCACCTTGCCTAGCCCCGCGATCATTGGTGTATTTTCTGTCCTGGAGAAGAGAACAGATGTCAAGGAGACACAAGAAACGTAAAAGTCGATCATCCATAATTATGCTGAATTTTCTTACCAGACTATTACGTTGATTATTTTTTATGAATGACATATACTATGATATGACAAAAAAGTCTGCAGTGTTGGTCATAGTGACCTGCCAGCATGCTAAAAAAAAAATCAATTAAAGTTTATTTTGAGTTTTGCAGCCAAGTTGGGATAACACCTGCTTAATACTTGCTACATGCTCCTATTCACATAGCATTCCTTTAAAAAATATAAAAACGCTGCTTAGCTTTTTACTTGCTGCTACATAATACTCCTAAAATCAACTTTCCCGTGGAATGTAAGGGGGGGGGTTAGGGGAGTTAATTTGTACCAAAATTAAACCTGTTTGTACTGTTCTGGCAGATCTCCCTATCAATTGTCAACAAAATTTGAACACTGTCTATTTTAACAAAAGGTTAAAGATTTTGAAGCTGACCATCTGCATTGTATGGTAATGGATAGCTATGTGGGGACTGGGACAGTTTAAGATTGCTCAGAAATGTTTTCAATCTGCCATGAGGTCTTAACCTCAGAAACATCTAAAAAGTAAGAAATATGAAAAAAAAAAATGATATGTTTAGGTATGCTGTGTAAATGGGAACGCATAACAAGCATATAAAGAGGGTTTCTCATATTAGACTGCAAAAGTGTAAATTCACTTTTAGGATAGCCCCCTGAGAAAAGGGTGCTTCACAAACATGAAAAGGTTATATTTAAGTGCCTTAATCTAAATCGGAACTAGAGTGTAGGTTGTAAGTTATGGACATTGTAGGCACATACGCAACACCATTTCAATATTAAAACAATATAATTTATTAACACAGATATAAAAGGCAATTATTCCAGAAAATAAAAATTAAGTTTGTGGAATATAGTGTGATACCCGATTACATAATGCAGTAGAGGTGCTCAATTGGAATATGTTGTAATGGGTACCCAAACTCCCAACTGGTGCATACACCCTGGGGTTGGCCACAGATCTGGATGGGCGGAAGGCCCGTCCAGCGGTTGCCCTGGCAACATGCGACATGCCAAAGAGCAGCACACATGCAGTGTTGAGCCACAAGTACCCATACCCATTGGAGACCTCTGTAAGTACTGCTCAAGTACTCATATTAATGTAAAGTGGAGATTTACATATCAATTAGTTTTATTGTCTTATAGGCCCTCTGTGAAGGATCATAAAGCAGCCCAGGAGGCACTAAGTACTGCTCAAGTACTCAAATTAATGTACAGTGGAGATTTAAGAACTTTTTGAATATATTTGGGATACATGGGTCCAATGCGTTTGTCTCCCCTCAGTTTGCTGTGCACCCCCGCATCTGCCTTAGAGACCATTTCCCACCTTAGGAGTGTGTGTACCTTCTTGTATGATGCATTTCTATTTTTAGTAAGTGTACTATTTTTGTCACGCTCATATTGTACATAAAAAGGATTATTATGCATACACATTATTGCAGGGATTAAAATTTCAAGTCCTGAGCTACATCCAGGCCTTATTGCAGAGGCTTACACAAAACACAGACACATTTCACAGTATCCTGTACAGACTACTATACACACAGATACCATACACAGAAATACACACGCACAGACACATGTACACTCACACAGACACACATACAATAAACACACAGACACAAACAGAGACACCTGTACACATACACAGACATACACAGAGATCTGGCCTGAGCTCAGAGCCTGCTCAGCAAGATGGCCCTGGGGGACACACACTCGCCCCCTCAGCATAATTTCCACTCGCCATTGGCGAGCAGGCGAATGGAAATTTCAAGTCCTGCATTATTGTATGTGTTTTTCTTCTACGCAGATAATATCTCCTGAAGAAGTGATCTCAATCACAAAACATGTAGAGCTGAGCAAATTGTGGACAGTGGAACCCCCGCATGAGGACCTGGTTATCAAATTTGGGTACCCATTACAACATATTCCAATTGGGTGCCTCTACTGCATTATGTTTTCGTGGGAATCACACTATATTCCACAAACTGAATTTTTAATTCTGGAATAATTGCTTTTTATATGTGTGTTAATAAATGATATTGTTTAAACATTGCGTATAGTGTTTCGTATGTACCTACAAAGTCCATAACTTACAACCTACACTATAGTCACCAGTAAGGGGTTTCCCATGGTCCCCCCTCCCGGGGAGCTATTTTCCTATTTTGGATCGTGGGTGCAGGACGGGGACTTTAGCTTGTCTCATTTCATGGAGGGAGGTAACCTGGCCTTGTTAGCCTCTCTTAGGGAGTGGTTTGGTGGCTCTCCTTTAGATTTCTGGAAATATTACCAGCTCTGCCATTTCTTTTTCACACATATCCACTTAACTCAGATTAGGCCTACCCTTACAAACTTCGAGCACCTGTGGGCTGCCAGGGACCCAGTCCTACATATGATTTCAGTTCTCTACAAGCTGCTTACCTCGGTTGCCCCCAACACACTCCAATGTGCGTTTACTGATGCATCTATATCGGCTGACGCACGCCAGCTCTGTAGACACTAAGACTAAGGAGAATAGCTACAAACTGTTGAAAAGATGGTAACGTGTACCTACTACACTTGCCCAAATCTACCCGTCCATTTCTGACCATTGCTGGAGAGGATGCAACCAAAAAGGTACATTCCTCTACATTTGGTGGGAGTGCCCTGTGCTATCGTCTTTCTGGGCGGGTATCAGGGACCACATAGCAGAGATCTGCACATAGATCTCCCCTTTTGCTTCATGCCCCCACTATACCTTTTTCGCACTACAAACGTAGAGCTCTCCCTCACCTCCTCAATGCTGAAAACGCCTTGTTCCTATCCTATGTCACATGTCCAAAGCCGAGGAGATTGGATTGGGAAGGTGATGGACATAATGGAGGCTGATGAGTGGATTGCCACATGTAAGGGTACTCAGGACTGCTTTAACTCTACCTGGGCATCCTGGAGGCACTACACTTCAGGATCAACCGTGCCCTCCTCCAGCTTAGACACAGCATTGCTAGGCTTAGCAGATCTCTCCTTCAAACACTTTGTCCAGGCTCACCAACAACCCTGATCTTTTTCTCCCACCGCTATATCCTCTACTTAGCATTCGGTGAGGTTTTTGTTTACTGACCCTTTCTTTTTGCTCCAGCCTTTGACCAGGTTGTGGCTGACATGTTTATGACTTACAGCGTAAGTTAGCATTCACTATTCCGGATGATTTCACTTTTTTGTTACATTTGTCTCAGTTCAGCTTATTATGCCGCTTGTTTTTATATTTGGGATGAACATATGCATGTATTTTGTGCTCGAATGTAAGCGGCACTGGAAGATTTGTGTTTGCTTTGTTGGTAATACCTTCTTTTCTACACACAGGATGAGACATGGCTGTCTAACCTTTTTTTTTGTACTATTTATACCCTAAATGGAGAATACCTAAAATGATGATTTGGAGATACAGTAGATTTGGGGATTAAAGTAACAGATGCAAATTGGTTTAGAAAGGAAATAAAAACGAGCCTCTTTTGGTAAGCATAAAGGTAGACTGAAGTCAAAACTGGAAACAGAACTTTGTGATGCATACAGGGAGAACAGCCTTCACGCTCAAGTTTTCTGTTTTTTTATCAAGGCACTTCTGTCCTGTACCAGGCCGCTGCACTTCCTTTGTATGTATTCTGGTGATCTAGAAATCCCTGTCTGAGATGTAGAAAAGGAATTCCCAAACACATCCACTGTTCAATTCTTGCAGTCTTTGACATAGGGAAAACTTCAAGTACAAAATATGGCAGTATTAACAAGTTCCTTCCAGTCTGAGAGACTACAATTAAAGTTCATCTCTAACTGGTAATACAGGAAGCAGAGATGAAGCAAGATACACAACAGAGGAGTACACTCCCTGTTACAAAGTAAGCTGGTTCCTAGATTCTGATTTGGTGAATTACACAAAACTCAAATTATGTCAACATTCTAATTTAAGCATCATTGCTGTGCTTGCTGGCTATCATTAGTGTACTGACTAGGTTCGCTTGGTTTGATTTGCTCTTTATAGCGTATCAACACCACCTGCACCAAAAAATGCGAGAATGATATAAAGGGCTGTGGGCCTTTGTAAAACTTATAAGTTATTGATAAGTCTCCTTAATGTAAATGCTCTCAGTTTAATAAGATTTAGCTCATTTTCAGTTTTTGTTTAATATGTTTATATAGTCAAACGGTGTACGCTACCTTCCAATGCAAAGTATATATGTTATGCATCAATATAATTGAGCACTGCTTACCCTGGTCTGTAATTGCGCTCTTGTCCTCCTCCAAATAACATTGGCAGCAGTGGTGTCTGGTGCCCCATCCCACGTACATAAAGAGCTCCAATACGAGGCCCATAGAACTAAACAAAGCAAAATAATCTTAATACAATCTAGCTATTATTAATTTGATGCCAAATGGAGTATTGTGCAGCAATTCACAGCAGCTTCTGCTTGCTAAAAGCTGTTAAAATCTGATTAATGACTGGCTGCCAGTTCTTTCTGAAAGTAGCTTAGTGTGCAAAAGAGCCCAGATCACACAAAATTAATAAAAATACACACAGCTTGATTCAGTTGAAACAGACTTAAGGGTCCATGGCGACAGGTTTTTGTTCACTTTAGATGAGTTTCGCATTCCATTTTGCAAAACTCACTTAAAAGCAGTAAAATCAAGATTAGAAGGAGATCAACTGCATGTCAAATGTCAGTAAATTCTGAATGATCAGAGAAGCTTCTCATACCGATGCCACTGACACAAACCAAAAGGCTGTCAACACCAGCCCTTAATTAACTGCTAGAAAAGAAAATCATCATCAAAAAGGAACAGGTCATGGACAAACAGGGGTTTATTAAAGCTGGAGAGTCCAAAATCAGACTCCCTTCTGCATAGAAACCAATCAGCTTCCAGGTTTCATTGCCAAAGCTTCATTGAACAAGCTGAGGTTAGAAGCTGATTGGTTTTTATGCAGAAGGGAGTCTGATTTTGGACTCTCCAGCTTTAGTAAATAAACCCCACAATGTCCAAAAGTGGACAAACAGTTGTGTGGTGTTGTTCAATCAAACAATTATTTTGTTGTGTGGCAAGTGGTCTACTGCAAAGGTTTCTTCCCATTGGCTTTGGAAGAATCCACTGGCTGACATACATCTACATTCAGTGTACATAATTTGGGTTTTTGCGACACATTTCTGCTGGTGTATCAGAAGCCTTGCACCACATTCGTGAAAGCCCTGTGTTTTATTTGTTAGTACTGATTCATGCAACAAACTCAAGTAGCTATTGAGAAACTTTTACTTAAAGTAAATAGGTAATAAGAACTCTGACAAGTTGGAGTAAATTGTCGATTGTGTCATGCATGTACATATCGTGGTGCATCTTTAGGGCGATTCTGCAACAAAATTTCCTAAGGTTCCTCTGGACTGATATTTGATACACTTTCATTATTCTCCCAACTTCTCCAAAATGGCTTCTCTGCCTGTAAAAATCTATCATGGCACAGCAGAGATGCTTGCCATAGTTCTGTCGGATACAGATTCATATGCAATTTACTGATTTGTAATGAATCTGTCACAAGTTCTGCCATTTGTCATGTTCCCCGCGAGACAAAGTTCTAAAGAGTATCTACAAACTTCTTATGAATTCCAGGGACTGTTTTTTTTAGTAATGGGCATAGCTGGGTGATTACTTAGGAAGTGATGAAACTGAAGGAGAAAAGCTCATCAACACACAGCATGTCAGGACCTCAATCTGTAGGTCACATGGTGACAGCATAGGATAAATATAGCAAGCATCGAAAGCCTTTGTCACCCACATGCAGGATGTTTAGCTCCCACAGTTTTCCAAACAGGTTAGTGCCCGTTCACATTTATGCAGATTGGATGCGGTTTGAACTGCATCCAATCCGCATGACATGTAAAATAACATGCTTCCTATGGTGTCTGTTCACATATGTCCGGTGCACTGGCGGTGCGGATTCAGTGCGGTTTTAAAAAGAGTCATGTCCGATATCTGAGCAGTGTGGTCCAATTCATGTGTGGATTACAGACTATTGATTTTTAAGGGAACTGTTTCTAAACCGCATATGTGTGAACAAGATAAGATCATGAGCTAATCCTGACCTGAACCTGATGTAATCCTGACATGAACCTGTGAACAACTACTATGCCAATTAGCTGTGAAACCTGAGCTTCAATCCACACCGAACATATGTGAATCAGCTCCTAAGGTGGGGAGCCTAGCTCAGGATCGAACCCACACGTGTGCTCCCATAGCAATTGGCTTACTATGGGGGCATACAGAGAGGAGTAGGAACCTGGAATGCCGACTGGGGACCCGAAAAGAGGAGGTTTGGAGCTGCTCTGTGTGAAACCAGCAAAGAATATTTCACAAAGCAGGTAAAGTATAACATGTTTGTTATTTTAGTAAAATAAAATTCTGGTTACTGATTTAAAAAAAAATTCCAGGCTTTACAATCACTTTAGAACAGGCCAGGCACGTGCATGTTTCTTGATCATGATAGGATTAACGATCCTTTCATGGCTCTGTACATTTCACACATAAATATAAATTGTTAGCTGTACCTTGTGTCCCTACAATGGTTAAATAATTGACTTGTAGTTCTTGAACATCAACACTGATCTTTCCGAGCGCCTGTGCTGCATCTGTGTGTAACAAGACTGAGGGAAGGCCCTGGCTGACACCGATGTCTGGAAATGGGCATAAGCCGTTGTGACAGTTCACTCACAGGCTGCAAAAGTAGGAATCAACATACAGGTAATAAAACAGACACTTGTCAATGGCACTTACACATACTGTATATTAACTCAAAGCTGAACAAATCCTACATACACAGGCACTCAAAGTATCCACAAAATGGAAAAACTATTTTGTAGCAATGTTGGTACCAGAGGCGTATTTACTGTGAGGCAAACAAGCCGTTTTCCTTGGGTGGCATTTTTTTTAGAGGGCGGTGCCGTCCCCCTGGCAGAAGTGACACATGTGTGGCAGTGGCACACAGGGGCTGTTAAGTTTTTGCAGCTTGCAGCAGTCTCCACTACATGGGATCCAATCTGCGAGAGGACGGTGGCCATTGGATCTGTAGGGCACACACAGGCCGGAGGGGGGAGAGAAGAGGATCCGAGCAGACAGATGAGGAAGTAGCCTGATCAGTGAGTGCTGCCTTGGAGCAGCCCGAGCTCGGCTCTGCCCATTATCTGTTATCTGTGTGGGGATTGCGGAGCAGAGGGTGCTGGCTCTGGATGGGAGAGGGAGGGGGAGGGGAGATTCTGGCTTGGAATGGGGGGGAAAAAAAAAAAAAAAAAAAAAAAAAAAAAAATATCGCACAATTTTTGTGTTGCCTAGGGCAGCACAAAACCTAAAAACACCACTGGTTGGTACCCTAGTCCTTCAAAAGAGCATTGCCATCTTAAACTATTTATTTTTTCTTTTATATTAGTGACATTACACATTGTTAAAGTGTTTGTAAAACCAAAACTTCCTGTTTAGTCTGAGACCAAAGTAAAGGGAATTTCTCCAACAGAAAACACTATGACAGTGATGGCAGCAGTGAATATACTATCATGCTGAAAATTCATATACACCCTCTTTCTGCCTCACACGCTGATCTCAGCCAGTCAGCTTAGGCTATTTGTCAGTGATCGACAAAACCGCCAATCATGATGATAACATGCAGGACAGAGGTTCCTTCACAAAATAAATCTCTTCAGCCTGCAGATGCCACCTCATTCTAAAGATGACAGTGTGCTTCTGTTTATTACTCTAATTCTCAAATACAATTATATCATTAACATACAAAAAAAACTGAAGCACACTAGTCAGAGTTATGGTAAAAATTATAGACACATGCTAATACTACTAAATTTGGTCTGGGCTCCAAGGCATTATGGGTCTTTGGTCATGAAATGTTTACAGGTGTTTACATGACACATATAAAGAATTCCTCATTTTACAATAAGTACACATACCAAAAAGAACAGCCACAAAGAAAAATATGAAAATGTATCAAAACCAGTACTAGGAGGTCACCAAACTTTTACTTACCATGATAACACCAGTTTCATTATTTGCCAACATGACAGACACTAGACATGTGTTAGGACGAAGAGCTGCAATAACATCATCAACCTCCACTCGTCCCGTAGTAGTGGATACTGGTACAAAGGTCACCTCTGGATTAGGAATAAGCATAGAAGGTATAATATAAATTATGATATAAATAAGAAGAAGCTGTCACAAAAAGCTGCACAACAAATTAAGGCACAAACCCCAAAGGTTAAGCTGTGTCTTCCTTCAACGATAAGATTCAGTTTAAAGTCAGTTCTTTTTGGGGACTAAATAATTCAAGGGCTTGATAAGCGCACTGATATGGCTCTTGAATAGTCCTATCCACTATCCTGGCTGTTTGAGATAAGTGGTGGCGGTCCACTCAGTCAAGAGAAGTGGTGGTGGCCCACTCAAAATCATATTTTAAACTGAGAGAGTAAAAAACAACCTTTTTGCCTTCCTCCGGATCAACTGTTGGCACATGATTGTGTATATGGAAGTGTCTATTAGCTTTTTTTTTCCTATTGGCTGAACTAGATGGACTTGTGTCTTTTTTTAACCTATGTAATTTTTCTCTGCACAGGATCTCCACATAATTGGATAGCACCCTAAAGCTGGCCATAGACAGATCAACATGTATGGGCAGGCGGGATGTACCCAAGGTTATCGATCAATCAAATTGGGTACAAGCAGCCTGATGGATTTTACATGCGATTATTGCTAGCAGCTGCTGCTACAGCCCATAGCAATAATCGCTGTATTCTCCCAGCGGGGATGACATTTTGCAGGTTAAAAAAGTGCATTTATTATTTTATTACACTGCAGCCTGCAAGGCAGTGCACCTGCTTTCCATGTACATAGATCCAACATGCTCCCAGCTGAATCAAAGCCAGAACCCTCCAATGAGCAGGACGGATAAGCTTTATTGATTGCAGAGCCACTGTATATGTCTGAAACAGAAAGTTATATTTTCTCCCCGTTTATTACATACTGTTTAGTAAAAATATTCAGTAAGCACTGATGAGCATAATGAAATGCTGAAATATATCAAACTTAAATGTTTCTGCATCATCTAGAATATACAATGTGCTTGTATTGTATAGGAGTACATGTCATGTGGGTGCATTGTACGCCTCATCTGTATTGAAGCTGTACAGATAAGCATTAAGAAGCTTGGCAGGAGTTTGTTGGTCCAGCAGGTGTACAGTACTGTGACAGACCAGGAATGGCAGAATTGTTCAATGTCTAGATTTTCTGTAAAGGTTATATTGACATTAGAAGCAATTAAACAAGTACCGGCTCTGTGTGCCCTCTGCAGGTGTTGAAGAGGCAGTACAATAGAATCATGCTCCACATTGGTAGTAATGATGTGTGGCAATGCCTTGTCCACGCTGTTACTGGAACTTTCTTTGGCTCTCATACTGAATTGTTCCACAGCCGAAAATAATACCATATTGTTGGCCTAGAATAGAGATGGTCTCAGTTTGAAACGATGAGAGAACAGTAACAGTGACACAAAGGGGGAGATTTACTAAAACTGAACTGTGCAAAATCTGGGGCAGCTTTGCATAGAAACCAATCAGCTTCCAGGTTTTATTGTCAAAGCTTAATTGAACAAGCTGAAGTTAGAAGCGGATTGGCTATGGCTACCATACACAGCTGCGCCACATTCTATGTGCTCCAGTTTTAGTAAACCTCCCTCAAATTTACATATGTTAATCTATTGAGCCCTATTTTTCTTCCCACCATTTTACATTTTAAAATTTAACTCTTTTTGGTTGACAAAAAAAAAAGTAAAAAAAAAAAATGTTCACTCAAATTTACCAACAAAATGTATTTAAGAAAATCTCTATTAACATTACCCAGATTTTTTGGGACGTCTGCCTTTACACGCACATGAACTTTAATGGCATCCCATTCTTAGTCCGTAGGGTTCAATATTGAGTTGGCCCACCCTTTGCAGCTATAACAGCTTCAACTCTTCTGGGAAGGTTGTCTACAAGGTTTAGGAGTGTGTCTATGGGAATGTTTAACCATTCTTCCAGAAGCGCATTTGTGAGGTCAGGCACTGATGTTGGCGAGAAGGCCTAGCTCATGGTCTCCGCTCTAATTCACCCCAAAAGTGTTATATTGGGTTGAGGTCAGGACTCAAGCCAGTCAAGTTCCTCCACCCCAAACTTGCTCATCCATGTCTTTATGGACCTTGCTTTGTGCACTGGTGCACAGTCATGTTGGAACAGGAAGGGGCCATCCCCAAACTATTTCCACAAAGTTGGCAGCATGAAATTGTCCAAAATGTCTTGGTTTGCTGACGCCTCAAGAGTTTCCTTCACTGGAACTAAGGGGCCAAACCCTCTCCTGAAAAACAACCACACACCATAATTCCCCCTCCACCAAACTTTACACTTGCAGTCAGGCAAGTACCGTTCTCCTGCCAACCGCCAAACCCAGACACGTCCATGGGATTGTCAGCCAGAAAAGCATGATCGGTCACTTCAGAGAACACGTCTCCACTGCTCTAGAGTCCAGTGGCGGTGTGCTTTACACCACTGCATCCGACGCTTTGTATTGCACTTAATGATGTAAGGTTCAGATGCAGCTGCTCAGCCATGAAAACCCATTCCATGAAGATTTCTATGCACTGTTTCTGAATCTAAAGGCCACATGAAGTTTGGAGGTCTATAGATATTGACTCTGCAGACAGTTGATGACTTCTGCACACTGTGTGCTTCAGCATGTGCTGACCCTGCTCTGTCATTTTACATGGCCTACCCCTTTGTGGTTGTGAGTTGCTGTTGTTCCCAGTTGCTTCCACTTTGTTTTAATACCACTAAAAGTTGACTGTGAAATATTTAGTAACAAGGAAATTTCACGGATGGACTTCTGCACAGGTGGCAACCTATCATGGTACCACGCTTGAATTCACTGAGCTCCTGAGAGCCACCCATTCTTTCACAAATGTTTGTAGAAGCAGTCTGCATGTCTATGTGCTTGATTTTATACACCTGTGGCCATGAAGGTGGCTGGAACACCTGAATCCAATTATTTAGAGGGGTGTCCAGGGGAGGACTGAAAACTCATGGGGCCCCCGGCCAATAGGGGATCATGGGGCCCGTGTCCTTGCCCACACTCAAATCACACCCAAAAAACCTATAAATGGTACCAGGGGCATTTCATGGGGCCCCCAACTGACCCCGGGCCCTCGGGCAGTGCCCGAGTGCTCGAATGGTCAGTCTGCCCCTGGGAGTGTCCCAATACTTTTGGCAATATAGTGTATATTCATCTATGGTAAGCAAATTAGCAGGTCTTTTCCTTCAAACACCCTAATAGACTACAGCTCCATTCACATTAGGGCATTTCAAATCAAGGGTGGAATCTCTGGGGTTCTGCCCGCGATTTGAAAACGCGGTGTGACAATGCGAAATGCGCGATTACGTTTGGAGGTGCCATTTCAATGGCACCAAAAAACCTGTTTGTGATTGCGGTACGTTTTTTTTCCGCGCGACAAACACCTGACGATTGTGCAAGCAAAATCGTGGGAAGTATAACTTTTTTGAGTAAAAAGGTTCCAGAACCTTTTTTGGGCGTCGTGCATCCCACAATTTTGTTTGTGCATTTGCAGTGAGTTTGTCACACAGGCTTTATCACCAGAGCCAACCTAACACTTGTGTTGGGTTCATAGGTGTCACTACACTGTGATACATCAGGGAAAAGACTAAGATATCCCCAAGGATCTGCAGGTAACCTTGAGCAGACTGCTCTTCTGTCACAGATTGTCCACTAACCATAAATGTAAGGAAGCAGTCTGAAACCCACAGCACCACTCCAGACTGCCTTTTCTATTGGCTAGCTGGGTGCTTGCTCAGAAAAGCTTGTCTTCATTTGTCATTGAAGAAATCTCTGCAACCATGATCAGTCCACCCCAGAAACACTGCCTTCTTAAGGCATTTCACCATGGCTTGATCACAAGGATCATTGTGGAGGATCCTTGTAATCAAGCAATTTGCAGAAAAACAAATTAAGGTCAGATTCACACTGACTTACGCTAAAATGTATAGAAAATGCATGTACATTTCCATCCATTTACCTTGTGTTTTAATGCACACTGACTTCTGTTCATATACATTTTGACGTCCGATGACATGCATGCGCAGTATTATGGTGTGAATAGGACACCCTGGAAATGATTGTTTTTCAGATGTCCTTCTGCTGATCTGCATTTAGCTGTGCTAAAACGCAGAGCAACGCACTGGTGTGAATTGGCCCTAAGAAGGTGGTGGTCCTTGGGTGGACTGATCATGGCTGCAGCTACTTTGCTGATGTGTGAATAAAATAGTCTGGTAAAGCAGAGATTGAGGTGAGGCTCTCATTTATCTATTTTCACAAATGTAAGGAGGCATAGATTCAGTACTTCAAACTTGTCCATGTGCTTAACCGTGTAAGCCAGTAGTCTCCTATGGCTCTGGGGCTGGATGCAGCCCTTTGCTTGCCTTTATCTGGCCCTTGAGGCATTATTCCTACCACTGACACCAAGAATGGGGAATAATCCCTGCCACTGGCACCTACAATGGTACACTCATTTTTCCACTGACACCAATAATGGGACATAATGCCTTCCACTGACACCAACAATGGGGTACTATTCCTCCCATTGACAACAACTATTTCTCCCCCTACTACCAAAGATTGGGCATAGTTTACTCCCACAGGGCAAAGGCCAGTCTCTTTAAAGTCTGAAAACCAGTAAACTAGCCCTTTCTTCAGAACGTTTGGAGACCCCTGGTCTATGCCATGGGGACAAATGCTAACTTTTAAAAAAAACTAGTAATACATTTAAAAATTGGTTTGCGTACAATATGCAGTCTTTCCAGAAGCTAACAAGGGTTAATGGAGATCTCTAATAACCTAGATGCATTTTAGCAATGAAGGTGCTAGCTAAGACATCTATGTTTGTCCTATTCATGTTATAGCTTCTCAAATGTATACAATTGACAGATATTACTATAAAACAATAAACACTGACCTAAAAATATATTTTGTGTCTTGCTGCTTCTACTTTGTCCTGGCATCAAGAATATGCTTTCAGTACTGCAAATGTCTTAATCCAGAGATTTAGAAATACATTTACATAAAAACATTGCTATTCACGGACTCACTTCTGTTCCTCCAGAGGTGAAGATGATGTCTCCTGGTTTTCCTCTTACCATGCTGGCAATGTGTGCCCGAGCTTTGTCTATTAGTTGTTTGGCCATACATCCTGAAATGAAATGGATACAGAAAAAGAATATCTTAGCCTCATAGTATTGCTCAGTATAAAGCTGAATCTCCAACTTGATGAACACAGTCCAGCTGCTGCTTTTGACAGTCTTTTAATCAGTTCAATGCTCAATTGTTCTGAGAGCACTTTCTTTTTGTTTTTTCAAAAAATTGATATCATTTGTGCAATAGCAATTCATTGCTGGAGGACTGGAGAGTGTTGTGGTTCACTTTCTATGGGTTAAAGCAGCATTAAACCCAAAACCAAAAAATGTATATATTGCAGCTTACCAGTCCTTAACCGTTTCAATACCGTGCAATTTTACACCTTCCTGCCCAGGCCATTTTTCAGGTTTCAGCGCTCTCACACTTTGAATGACAATTGCGCGGTCATACAACATTGTACCCAAACTAAAATGTTATCATTTTCTTCACACAACAAGAGCTTTCTTTTGGTGGTATTTAATCACCGCTGGGGTTTTTATTTTTTGCTAAATTAACAAAAAAAGACCAAAAATTTTGAAAAAAAACACGTTTTTCTTTGTTTCTGTTATAAAAGTTTACAAATAAATAATTGTTCTTCATAGATTTAGGCCGAGATGTATTCTACTACATGTCTTTGGTGAAAATAACCCAAATTAGGATGTATTATTTAGTCTGTAGGAAAGTTATAGCGTTTACAAACTATGGTATAGATCTGAAAATTGATCAATCCTGAAGTACTGACAGCCAATCTAATTTCTTGAGGTCCAAGAATGTCAGAACAGTACAGATATCCCCCAAATGACCCCTTTTTGCAGAGTAGACAGTCCGACGTACTTCATAAGAGGAATGGCGAATTTTTTGAAGTTGTATTTTTTTTTGTCATAATTTTTCGGAAAATTAAAAAAATTATTTTCACTATTTTTTTTACATACTGTCACCAGTGCAGTACAGCATCATCATATAACTGGCATGGCGGTGAACAGGGACACTGACTGGTGACAGTATGAAAAAAAAAAATATATATATATATTTTTTTTTTTTTATTATTTTTAATTTTTTATTACATTTTTTTATTTTTTTTTAAGATTTTTCTTCATATTTTACTATGACCAAAGTAGTACAATGTTACCATAGTAACATTGTACTACTTTGGGGAAGTGATCAATATTTTTTTTTTTTTACACAATTTGCTTATAGCAAAGAATTACTTTGCTATAAGCAAGCATTTATCTGAATGAAATCAATTCATTCAGGTTTTTTTTTTTGTGCTTAGCTGAGATATGGTCACAGCTAATCACATGACATGTGCATGTGATTAGCTGTGACCATTCACAGCTAGGCACTAGTATACAATGGATGGCATGAATGAAGCCATCCATTGTATACAACTGTCATGTGACCTGCTGTGATTGGTCACAGCAGGTCACATGGTACCAGCAACGGGGGGCCGGTACTCAGATCTGTCATTGGCCCTGTCCGAGGTACACGGCGGGTGACAGATCGCGCCGCTGCGAGGCTCTGCATTACCGCAAACTGCGGAATGCCGATGCACTTTTGAAGCCGCCAAACGGCCATTGGCCGGGCAACTAATGGTTAAAGAGTAACTCAACTTTTGTTGAGAAAAAAAAAACATTCCCATCTGGATGATCTATGTACATTGGATGGATTTTAACAAACTTTGTTGCAGTTTCCTACCTTTTGTTATTCTGAAGAGGTGTTTGTCTGTCTGTGCCCATGTGGAAAGTAAATCTAATGACAGTGGTTTTATAATTATCAGTCAGCTGCTCCACCAGCAGGGTTCTAATTAGGAAAATTGCAGGGTCTGCATCCCTTTACATGTGATTTCCTATTGGAGGTATCTCACCAAAAATGACCTTTTTTTTTTTTTGCAGTGGATGCGCAAAATCTGACTGTTAGTGCAGACCTCTGGGAAAATTAGTGAGCCAATCACACAAGCAGGAAACTATGTTTCTGGGGGGTGTTCTGTACACCATCTGTGTGCAGAACACCTCCAGGTAACCATATTGCATTGCATTTTACAGAAAATTACAGCGTTGCAGATTGAAAAGGAAAGATAATTTTTTTATAACATTCAATTACAATATGACTTGTGTTGTAATTGTGTATATATATATATATATATATATATATATATATATATATATATATATATAAAAGATATATTTTTTTGCCATTTTTTTTTTCCCCGAAAGTGGATTTGCCCTTTAAATATAGTGAATGCATTAGTTTTCATTTTATAGGCCTTTTTTCCTTTGTTTTCACCTGGTGATCTACCCAGTAACACACCTCCTGTATTAGAGTGCCCCCACTCTGGATTAAAGTGATTCAAAAGGCTTATTTTGTATGTAGAAAAAATAACAAATGTGTCTATACTTTCCTGCTGTGTGCAGTGGTTTTCGCAGAGCAGCCCAGATCCTCTTCTTCTTGGATCCCCCCACAGACTCTCCTGGCCCCTCCCTCTTGTCGGGTGCCCCCACAGTATGCAGTTTGCTATGGAGCCACCCGCTGCTCAGTGTATCCACTGACACATGAAGCAGCAGCTTGGCCCCACCCCCTCTCTCTTCTAATTTGGCTCACTGGCTGTGACTGACAGTAGTGGGAGCTAATGACTCTCGCTTCTGTCACAGCCAATGAGGAGAGGGAGTCCCGGACTTGCTGAGACTCCAGTGCACATTGCTGGATCAAGAGGGGGCTTAGGTGAGTATTAAGAGGAGCTGGGGGTGATGCTCCACACAAAAGGTTTTTTACCTTCATGCATAGAATGCATGAAAGTAAAAAACCTTGAGCCTTTACAACTACTTTAGGGCGAACAGGGGGCCCCTTTGGATAGCAGCAGATTAGCAGACTTAAATACACCAACAAATAGAAGCCAAACTCCAGCTCACACAAGTAGTAACATCAAACATTTTTTCTGCTTTTGGAATAAAGGTTTTACATGAATAAATAAAAATGCATCATTGTAAGCATCCCTGTCAGTAGTAAATGTTTGTCTCAACACTCTAATTGCTACATATTCAGACAGCTTGTTCTGTTGAAAAACAACAGACTTACTGGCCAGATCACTAGGTGAAAATAAAGAAAAGAAAAAAAAAAAAAAAAAACTAATGCAGCCATCACATCTAAGAATTGGTATGCTGCAATATCATAAATGTTTGCTTTTGTGCTTATCACCACTTTAAAATGTTTCTAAACCCTAAAACAAGGTTTACCAGTCCTTACATGTGGTGGTTGTATTAGTTTTCTTTTTCGGGCTAGGAACATTTTCAGCAAGCGCAGAAAACAAATGTCAGTCTTGCCAGAAATGCAGCATCCTTGTGAGCTGAAAAGAAGGCACAAAGAGTGTTATCTTTCTTGGATAAACTACTAATCTCATCAACCAACCATGTGATACAGATGAACAAAGACAGATATGTTTGAAGTCCAGCTTACGTGACAATCATAACTTCTTCTATAGATGTAGTGGAAGTATAAGTGTAGCCACCAAGGGACAGGAAGTGTGTTCTTTGCAGCATAAAAAAGCATAAACAAAAAAACTAATTCAGCCGCTACATCTAAGAACTGTTTAGCTGCAATATACATTTTGTTTTAGGGTTTAGATACACTTTAAGGCACCATGCCAAATAGCAGGTGGTCACAGGGTTAGCTCCCACTACATTCTGTTATTAGCAGAAGATCCTGTAGGACAATAGAGCACAGAAGTGCTTGATTAAGCTGTGATAGCCATCATCACAGGCACAGACCATGCACAGCTTATAGTACAATAAGTTAGTAATCTCCAATATGAGTGAACTGCAACACAGAAATAAGCTTCTAAAAATAAATAGAAACCAGTATTAGTGACACTAACTAGTGCTGAGCTCAAAAAAATCTTTATTAAATTGCCTTCATTAAGCCACTCCCAAAATGCCTAAAGTGGTTGTAAACTCTTACAAATGACTGGCTTCAGGTGATACACAGAGATGAAACAAGTCCTCCTACATATGTTGTACCTACAGTGGGGATCGAAAGTTTGGGCACCCCAGCTAAAAATTTGTATTAATGTGCATAAAGAAGCCAAGGAAAGATAGAAAAATCTCCAAAAGGCATCAAATTACAGATTAGACATTCTTATAATATTTCAATAAAAGTTAGATTTTATTTCCATCATTTACACTTTCAAAATAACAGAAAACAAAAAAAATGGCGTCTGCAAAAGTTTGGGCACCCTGCAGAGTTAATATCTTGTACTGCCCCCTTTGGCAAGTATCACAGCTTGTAAACGCTTTTTGTAGCCAGCCAAGAGTCTTTCAATTCCTGTTTGAGGTATCTTTGCCCATTCTTCCTTACAAAAGTCTTCCAGTTCTTTGAGATTTCTGGGCTGTCTGTCACGCACGGCTCTTTTAAGGTCTATCCATAGATTTTCAATTATGTTGAGGTCAGGAGATTGTGAAGGCCATGGCAAAACCTTCAGTTTACGCCTCTTGATCTAATCCCCCGTGGATTTCGAGGTGTGTTTAGGATCATTATCCATTTGTAGAAGCCATCCTCTCTTTCACTTCAGCTTTTTCACAGATGGCATCAAGTTACCATCCAAAATTTGCTGAAATTGTATTGAATCCATTTTTCCTTCTACTCGTGAGATGTTCCCTGTGCCACTGGCTGCAACACAACCCCAAAGCATGATTGATCCAACCCCATGCTTAACAGTTGGACAGAGGTTCTTTTCATTAAATTCTGTGCCCCTTCTTCTCCAAACGTACCTTTGCTCATTCCGGACAAAAAGTTCCATTTTAACCTCATCGGTCCACAGAACTTGTTTCCAAAATGCCTCAGGCTTGTCTATATGTTCATTTGCAAAGTTCAAACGATGATTTTTGTGGTGAGGACGTAGAAGAGGTGTTCTTCTGATGACTCTTCCATGAAGACCATATTTGTACAAGTATCTCTTTATAGTGGAATAGTGTACAACTCCAGTGTCTGCCAGATCTTTCTGGAGGGATCGTGCAGTCAAACGTG